TATTTTAAAATTTAATTTATTGTGATTTCAAAGCTAAATTTTTAGCATCATTACTCCAGTCACACTATCCTTCAGAAATCATTCTGATATTCTGATATTCTGATTTGCTGCTCAAAAAACATTTATTATTATTATGTTGAAAACAGCAGAGTATCATTTTTTTTCAGGTTTCTTTGATGAATAGAACGTTCAAAGAACAGCATTTATCTGATATAGAAATCTTTTGTAACATTATAAATGTCTTTATCATCACTTTTGATCAATTTAAAGCGTCTTTGCTAAATAAAAGTAGTAATTTCTATAATTTCTTTCCAAAAAAAAAAACTAAAAAAAATTTATACTGACTCCATGCTTTTGAATGGAATAGTGTATAATGTTACAAAAGCTTTTTATTTCAGATAAATGCTCATCTTTGGATCTTTCTATTCATGAAATAATTCTGAAAAAATGTACTCAACTGTTTTAAATATTAATAATAATAATAATAATAATAAATGATTTTTGAGCAGAAAAACATTAAAAATCTTACTGTTCAAAAACTTTTGACTGGCAGTCTAAATGTTATGTAAATATAACTGGTTTGTTCATAAATATGTATTTATAAATGTTCTCTATCTGTAATGTTCTGTATTTATAAATCTCACTCTATACAATATTGTTTACAATATTGGGCTAATCAGACTAGTACTGATGATTAAAATATACTGATATCCAAAACTCCTTTTATCATTTACTAAGCGTTTTATTGATGCTTCTTGTGTTTCTTCACAGTCTATGCGGAAAGTTGGGCAGGACACGACCGTTCTGCTCATCTGTATCACAGTGTTTCTGTCCTATCTGCCCGAGGCGGGTCAGTACTCCAGCTTTTTCCTCTACCTGCGACAGGTAAGGTGTTTATTTCTTGGTTTTTAATGAACAAGAGTAAAGATTCTATATTTAATGTTCCCGAATAAAGCAGCTGTCAGCTTCCATTGAACTTTAATCAGCGGTTTATGCTGCATGTTTTCACTGTCTGCTACTGTCGAACAGTCCCATGATTCATTAGCTCGGATAGAGCTGCACTGATGACTGGAAGGGTTTTAGCAGCAATATGCTTCTAATTAACTAAACAAGTAGGATTAGTAAACAAAGACACTACCATACTACTTCTAAACTCCAAAAGAACAGCATTTATTTGAAATGAATTAAGTTAATGCGCCCAATTTTTTCCCATAATATATTTATTTATTTAGTTTTATAATTATTTGTGACCCTGGAGCACAAAACCAGTCATAAGGGTCAATTTTTTAAAATTGAGATTTATACATCATCTGAAAGCTGAATAAATAATCTTTCCATTAATGTATGGTTTGTTAGGATAGAACAATATTTGGCCGAGATACAACTATTTGAAAATCTGGAATCTGAGGATGCAAAAAAATCAAAATATTGAGAAAATCATCTTTAAAGTTGTCCAAATGAAGTCCTTAGCAATGCATATTACTAATGTTCTTAGCAATGCATATAACTAATCAATTGATCTATTTACGGTAGGAAATTTACAAAATATCTTCATGGAACATGATCCATACATAATATCCTAATGATTTTTGCTATAAAAGAAAAATCTATAATTTTGACCCATACAATGTATTTTTGGCTATTGCTACAAATATACCCCAGCGACTTAAGACTGGTTTTGTGCTCCAGGGTCACACATATATATATATATAATAACTGGACTTCACATGTTTAATTAAACATGCAATGTAACAAGGTCATGTGACAAGAATGTAGCAAACTGCAGTTTGAAACATTGTTGCGTTCTACAGAATTCTATTTCGCACAGTCGTCGGGTTCTCAGGATGTTCCGGGGTCAGCTGGATTGTTAGTGGCATCCTGTCTGAGCGCTGAGTTGAGTTCAGTGACGGCTCATTACTGGACATAGCAGAGTTCACTGGATCGGGGCGCGCTGGTGCAGACTGATAGTGACGCGGCTCTTTCTCTGTGTCTCTCAGGTCATTAACTTCTCGCCCAAAACGATCGCGGTGTTCATCGGCGTGGTGGGAATCCTCTCCATCCTGGCGCAGGTATTTAATTGAGGCAATATTCTTGGCTCTGCCTTATTACTCGTGTCGTTGAGCCGGCGAGCCGTCTCGTGAAAGTGGCTCTCGCAAACGCTTTCTAATTGAATTGAATTCCTTTAAAAGTTCAACTGTAAATGTAATGAAATATAGGCAGGGCTGTAATGAGCAGATAGCATGGTGTTAGCTGGTTTATTTAAGTGGAGGGGTTTTATTTTTAGCCCTGCAATAAGCGAGGTGAATTCTAGCAGCTTTGCTCCGATTCAATACGACACAGCAATGAAAACAATGACGTTTCAGTATAATAACAATAACACAGCCCTGCATGTAGGAAAAAATGTCTGCTGATTTGCAAAAAAGGCCTAATTTTAGTTAATATGATGATGCTGAGTTCAATAATATATATCATATAATAAATTGGAAAAAAATATATATATACATTTTTTTTTTATAAATATAAAAAATAAATATCACATAATAAATTCAAATATAAAAGAATAAATCTTATTTTTTAACATATATTTCACATATATTTTTTCACAAAATAAGAATTAAGATTTTTTTCGAATTATATGTATCAGATTTAATGCACTCATCAAAATAACAAAAGCTGTTGAATGTTAAACGCTTTGGTTTTAATGATAAAAACAAGTATTTAAAATGTATAATTTAACTTACAATCTGCAAAAGAGTGGAAAAATATATTCAAATAGTCTGTTTAATGTCTCAGAGCTTTACATAAAAACATGTTTATGAATAAATAAGCTTTTTTCCCCATGAAATCTGTAATTGTCAGTCACTGTTTGGATGTAGTAAAACACCCAAAACATCTGCTCATGTTTGCATTTTCTAGTCACTCGCTATAAATCTAACCTTAAAATCAGGAATAGGCATGAATTAATGTCATAAATGTGAAAATGGGCTGAGAGTTGCACAGCAGGGTTTCTGCAAGCTTCATGAAGATACATTTAAGACCTTTTTAAGACACAATTTTAATGAATAAATTAAAGGGAATCATTTGTCAATATGATCTTTAAATGCAAATGTCTAGGAAGCACAATGAGTTGTATTAGCAAGTTTGAAAACACAACTTCCTACAGACTTTTTGATTCATTTTACAAAAAAAAAACTATGATGGAAATATATTTTATTCTACATTCTGATCACTGCAAAAAAGTGATGTTCTTCCTCAGTATATTTGTCTTGCTTTAAAGTGATTTTTATGATTAAAACATGAACAAAAATCGACTTAATTCAAAGGGAAAATAAGTTTTCATTCCCCATTGACAGATATTTGTTCTTTGTTTTCTTTTTCAATACTGAGGAAGATGTTAATTTTTTTGCAGTGCATGCAACATTTAATGCCATGACTATGAATTTAAGATTTTCTGCAATTGCAATTGGTCGTTGGAAACAAAAATGCTACAAAATGCATCATATTTTGTGATAAAGTGTGACGAACTCAAGCAAAAGGCACTATTTTCAGAATCAGCACCCAAAGTTAGTCCGAAACGAGTATTCGTTCAGCAAATATGATGCAGGGCAATGTAAAAATTCATTCTCTCCTGTTCCCGCCAGACGCTTTTTCTGACTTTATTGATGAGGACCATCGGGAACAAGAACACGGTTCTTCTGGGTCTGGGTTTCCAGATTCTCCAGCTGGCCTGGTACGGTTTGGGGTCCGAGCCGTGGTGAGTTAACATCTAGATCAAGAGAAATGACCTGCTTATGCGAATAAAACATAACAATCGTCTGGTGTAAGAAGAGCAAGTCACTTCTGTTTGATGTCCAGAAGCGATTGTCGTTTATGCTGTTATTTGTGTTGTTGTTTAGGATGATGTGGGCGGCCGGCGCGGTGGCGGCCATGTCCAGCATAACCTTCCCTGCAGTGAGCGCTTTAGTGTCACGCAGCGCGGATCCAGATAAACAGGGTAAACTCTTATATGCTAACTTTCGAGATTTTACCTTTTCAAAACTGTAAGGACTGAAGAAAAACAACATTTGTCTTTAAAACAAGTAATGAACTGTGCACTGCGAGAGCAGGAGCGTGCATTCAGAAAGTCCACGGTTTCATTTCATGTTGGTTTCTATTAACGCAGTGGTCACCAACCTTCCTTGACCTTCCAAGATCCTTGACCTCGGCCTTTATGAAAGACAAGACCTACCTATTGAAGAACTGATAGAAAAAGACAGCCCAGATTGTACTACCAATCTGAGGCCTTTTATTTAGTATTTTAATTAGTGATGATTTTTCATGGTCGATTTGGATAGTTTTTTTTATGGCTGATTCCAAAAGTGGTCGCAGATTTATTTATTTATTGTTTATTTGCTCTATAACAAGCAAACTAGTCTCAAACAAAAATATCTGTAGCCAATCACAATCCAAACAACAAATGATACACCCATGTAGCACGAGCAGTTATTTTTTTATTTAAATGGAATTTTATAATTTCAAGATTTAAAGCAAAAACAGGACGGTCTGACTTTATCTTTGTGAAATTATGCAACATAAAACATCTGCATGAAACAAAACCAGCAGACGGGCTGATTGAGAACGTCTCTGACAGCAGGTACTGCTGTAAACAAAGCAGCGCTGCGCTTATAAATACTACTGGTGATGGATGAGGAGATCCCCCTCACAATGTAAAGTGCTTTGAGTGCTTAGAAAAGCACTATATAAATTTAATGAATTATTATTGCTATTATTATTACTTAATATGGAGGTAAGAGAAAAAGAAAATGCCATTGCCATCGAAACTTTTCTGAAGTTTCCTTCAGTGATACATGTACCCCCAATTCAATATTTATATATTCTTCCTATATTTCGAGCATTGTGAACAGTGAGTTTGCTCTGCCTGCTACAGTATTTTCTCCTCTTTGCGTCCGTCTTCAGCGACTCTGGCCTCTGTTTACAGCCGTTTACAGACTCAGACTATCACTGAGATCAACAGGTTGGCGACCACTGTACTAAGGCATTAGGAGTTTATGTTGTGCATATGAGCTGTTTTTCCATCCGTGTGTGTTGTATTACCGCAGGTCTGGTTCAGGGCATGATAACAGGGATTCGGGGGCTCTGTAATGGTCTGGGTCCGGCACTGTACGGCTTCATTTTCTTCCTCTTTAATGTGGAGTTGAGCGGGATCACCACCATCCAGCCCGACTACGCCATCCCACTACAGACCTCCACAGAGGTACGTGTCAGTCTGTCTGTTATACAGGAAGAATTTAAATTACTTCAGTGAATCAGTTCAAAACATGTATTCAGTGATTCATTTGCATCATCACTCAAAGGCACTCCATGCATGGCATTTTTAATGCTTAAAATGTTTATTTATTAATGTAATTATTTAATCTATTTGGCTGCGATGACTGGTTGAAATGATAAAAAATTTACTTTTAAATATAAATAAATAAAAATAAAAAAAATATAAAAGCAAATAAATAATAATAATTATAAAAATGATAATATAAATATAAACGTTTATGTATATACATCAATTTATGAGCAAAATATAACCAATTTAAAAATTAAAAAAATTAAAAAAATTAAAATAATATAAAATAATAATTATATTTTGCTATATATTATCTATTTCGTACAAAGCTTTTGCTGTTATGATGCAATGTCAAAATTATATACTGTATATATTATATGTAATAAAAATATATAACACATCTGCTACATTATTTTGCATAAAACCATTTTACTTCTATTCATTAATTTGCATCATCATTTAAAAGTGCTCCCTGCATGGCATTTTCAATGTTTATTTTTAATGTTTAGGAATTATAATTATAAAAATAATATATAATTTTGCATCTGCGTATAAGTAAAATTTTATTACAATCATAAGTAATGTAAAATACCGGTAATCAGAACGAAACGTTTACAAACACTATAAACATGTATTTTAGTTTCCTTCACTCGACAGCAAATCCTTTAAATTGTATGTTATTCAGAACAGGAATTAAAAATATAGGCCCAAGTAAAAAAAAAAACATTATTTAGCCTATAGTGGCATTGATTATTAACAACATTTCTTATAAACACCAAGCCTAAATGTATTTATTTAAACAATCTTCCAGCATGTGGGAAATGTGCTATACAAATAAACTTGGCTCGTCAAAAATGTGACAAATTGTGTAAAATACAGTATATATTATTATATATTAGTATATATAATACATAATATAATACTTGGCCACATGTCACTTTCACTACTTGATATATTTAATAGGGCTGGGTAAAAAATATCGATATCTTGATATTAATCGATTCTCATTTTTACGGAACGATATCGATTCTTAAATCCCAAGAATCGATTATTCTAGCCTGTTTTCAGTTAATGGACGGAACATTGAAGGGCACTTCCCATCCAATATATCGCAATAAGCATTTGACAGCCACCATTATGTTTATATTTCAAAAAAACGAGCTGAAGTAGAAATATTATGTAATTGTAACTTTATTATTTTAAAAACTTAATTAAGTGTAATTTTAACAAATCAGTCCATTTTAACCTTCAATATTAATGTAGTACCAACTGACTCTCATGTATATTTTACAACATTGGTTGAGAGATTTTTTCCTTGAAAATTTGGCATGCGTACCTGATATATATCCAAAATAATCAATATTGAATCGAATCGCACGCTTGTGAATGAGAATCGAATCGTGAACTTTTTGTCAAAACCCAGCCCTAATATTTAATATATATATTATCTATATCACACAGCTTTGTTTCTATATCGAAGTGAATACTCACTCATAGCTTCAACAGTGTCATAAATCCGTGATGACTTCCTCTAATGCCACTTACCTTTCGCCTGTTTTTTTGTGTAGAAGACCATAATCCCCGGTCCTCCGTTCCTCCTGGGCGCCTGTACAGTGGTGGTGGCGTTTATAGTCGCTCTCTTCATCCCGGACCACCCGACGCCCCCAGCGACGCCCTGCCAAACCCTTAAGAGCAGCGCGAGTCTATCCGGCGCTCACACCAACACGCTGCTGCCGGGGAGCGACGAGGACTTCGAACCGCTGCTGGAGGACAGCAATGTCTGACTCTGAAACAAAATCACGTTTGGAAAAGATTAAAAGGTCGTCAACACATCGCAAACCCTCCATCTGCCCGGCGACTAATGTTTGAGAGCGTGCGGAATTTATTTAGTGTGTTTTTTTTGTTGATTATGACGAAACGGTTATTGGTTTTAAACTCAGAGGCTTTTTTATTAAGCGTTTTTACAGCGTTTAACACACTAAGGGCTCGATCAGTGGGATCGTATGCGTTCGGTTTGATTGCAAAGCTCTTCATGTATATAGATATTTGGGCAAAGTGCAGTAAAGTTTATTGTACTGTATGCGGAGCTTGTGGTGGCTTGAAAGTCGTGAGATTGAAGAAAAACTGGGTGAATTTCATGAAATCATGGTTTAGGTCATTACGACCTGAAGAAGAAAAAAAAGCCTATTTTTAGACTTTTCTTGACATTATTTTCAAGCACATTTTCTCCCTCCTAAAAACAGGCTTTATTTGCATTAAGAAAAAACGAATTTCTTGTGATTTTAAACCGATTTCATGAGATTCACCCAAACGGAAACAGTATTTTTATACTGCAGCGATTGAGCGAAGTTTCCTTACACAAGCCTTAAAGTCACATATCCTGTGGCGTATGACAAGGTTTTAATAGATTAGAGATGCATCCGGTTGCATGAACAGTATTTGTGACGATGTTAACCAAACCCGAAACACTAGAGCACCAGCGGTTTGGTGTAGTTACTGATGCTAACGTAGTTCTTTTAGGCCAGTTAGTTGTTTCAGACATGGCTTGATTGTGAAGTTCTTGAATTGTGTGTGTGTGTGTGTGTATGTGTGTAAAGGTTCTATGCAGTAGTGATCAAAAATGGCATTCAATTTAAAACAAAAATGGCCTGCGAATGCCATTTGATGTTGAGAAACATGGGTTAAAAATCACAGTATTGCTTAAAATATTACATTTGTACAAGTGAAATTTTACCTTAATTTTTACTTTCGAGAAAAAAATTGGCAATGTGCATTTGTTAAGCTATTTAACTCAATATTTATATATTTCCTTAAGGATAATTAGTATTTATTAAAAATCAGCCAACATCTACGTACCAGCTACCTCATTTTTGGAGGTTTCGATGATTTTGTGAAATGAGGTGAGATTCGACCTGACTATATTTTTATCTGCCTCTTGTTTTTTAGCCACATTCCATTTTCAATATGGGATTTTTCCAAGATTCATTAGAATTACAGAAGAATTTCATTGTTTTGTTCATGAATTCCATATTTTCTCATACAATTAACGTTTTCCAAGCTGATGATTTATTTTTTTGCATGAACACTGGTATGAATTTCCAGAACAATGCTTTATGTTTCCCAGAGGCCTCTGTCTGTTTTGTGTGAAGAACACTGTTTGTGGAGCGTCTCATTAGAGTTTGAGGTCATTGTTTGACTGACCTGTGCTCATTTCCTGTTCCACATGCTTATCATTTCCTCCACTTCCAGTATTCCATACAAATATGGCAGATATTCCATTCAGAACGGTTCTGGTGACCTGTGAATCAAACAGAGATCCTGAACAGAATCTGAATATTTGCTTCCCATCATTTATTCTCCACCCTTGACCCTTTTTCCATGTGTTTGCATCATTTCAGCCATATTTATAAAGCAGTGATGTGAAACTTTAAGCTTGTGTGTGTATTTATGACGCGACTGCGGAACGTGGCATTCCAAAGCGTGTAACGGCTCAGCCGTAGTTCCCGCGCTTTTGGGTTTTGAATATATTCGTGCACAGCTTGTAACGGCGGTTTAAAAATGCAATAGCGACGGTCATATTTATTATTTTAGGATTGTAAAGTATTGTATATGTATTGAATAGTATTACAGAAAAACTTTTACATGTTGCCAGACCCGCAATACTTTTCGAACAATTAAAGTGCTGCTCCAAATAAGGTCAACCGATCGTCAGGAGCAACACGCACGCGTTCCCGAGAATAACTTTCGCTTTTCCTTTCTGAACTCGTCAAGTATTTGTGTGTCTTTCAACGGGATACACAAGGTGCCTGAAGTGTAAAACATGTTTGTAGTAGATCCGAGTCTGACTGTAAATACCGAGTACATTGAGCAGCTGATGAAGATGAAATGTACAGGGACCTTTACGTATTTATTGTCATGTATTGTGGGAATGGATTAAATAGGTGCAAATGAATAAAGAACACTAAGAGTCATGGCGTGATGTGTTTCTTAGTATTTCAGCATTTAGTTCACTATTTCTCTTATAGTAATCAGTATTTCAGTATAGTAAATCAGTATTTCTCTTGATCATTAGATGGCGCCGTTGTGCTACTTACGTTCTGGGATTTCTGAGAACATCAACAATGACTTAGCATTACCTTGTTTTTGTCTGACAAAACCGTTTGTGTGCCTGAAAGCACACGTACATCACAGAGACGTCTATTTTACGTCTGCAAGACGTATTTTTTAGAGTGTTTGCTCAGCTGCAATATGTCTATAGGACGTTTCCTATCAGATGTCAAATAGACGTTTAGAAAATGTCTTTAAGATGTTCATGATTTAGAGATTTATGTAAAACTGACATCTTAGAGACGTCTATCAGATGTTTGTACACAGCAGATGCTTTCCAGATTTTTAACAGACATCTTGCAGACGTACCTGTGCTGCATGGTGTATGAATATGATAATCAGTACCATGAAATATCTAAAAGAACCAAGGTATAATGTGGCTATTCTCTCATAATCACATTTAGCGCCACACAATCAACTAGTTTGCAGTCTTTAACCACAAACATTTCAATGACTTGTAAATTGTACAGTGGTTCAGAGGAAATTACCAGCACCGTGCATAGAAAAATTTGCATACCTATAAATATTCCAAATGCATGATCATTTACTGTAAATCACACTGGGAGTTCATTTCAAAATGTCAACCAATCAACATGCAATAATTTCCCACCCACTAAAACTCAATGTATAAACAGATGCAAAGTCATCAAGCGTTCCTTGGTGTTTCAATGCATGTGAAATACTCTCAGTCCCCACTCGAGTTCTCAGATCTCCTCTGGATGGCAGTGTTGATGTAGCTGAGATGTCTGACTGATGCTGAACCCTTGAGATCTCATCAGAATAACCTCAGCACAGTATCTAAATGCCTCTAATGCAGTTCAGTTTAGTGATGCTACAAAACGTTCCTCTGCCGTCCAAAATAGAATTCAAAACACTTTGTTTCATTAGGAAATTACCAGTAAAACTCTATTGGTTTAGTTTTAGATTACTAGCACGGCCATTACTATTGATTACATCAGTGTTGTTCCCACCTAAATAAACAATGCACCCACAAATTAATTCATTAACTTGTTTACTTGCGTACATTCAGTTGTTTTGACCAGTTGTTTAGCAGCATATGCAAAATGTTCCTTCTCCATGCAATGGCAGACTGAGTGAACAGACTGTAAAGGTTAAAAAATGACAATAACACCATAAATGTATCAAAACATAGTACAGTATGTCTATAGACACAACACAGTGCAATGAGTAACTCAAAATACAGCAAAAACACCTGTGAAAAATCAATAGGGAAAAATCCTTCATATTAACGCAGCACATTGGGCCCTGTTTTTACAGACGTTTTTGAGAGTGTGAAGTCATACGATGCTTTATTTGACAAATCATTCTCTGGAAATCTTCCCATTTGCCATCGCATTTCCACAACTTTCTGTCTTGCAATATCTATTGGCCAGTCCCAACATAGATCATTTGGGTTTCTAAGTGCTAAGTTTCTTTAGTGGTGCTAAAATACACAAAATAGTGTGATGTGACACACCATCTACTTTTGAGGCACTAAAGGCCATGCTATATTGTTATTGTTGTCAATATAATCAATGTGGCAAGTTGGCAACATATTTTGACACTGTGCATGCTATCACACATCTGTGTAGTTCATAAATATTTATAGTTATAGTTTTGACATGCTCTCTCTCTCTCATGGGAGCAGTGAATGGATTACATCATGTAATTTTATGCATCAGCTGCATATCTCCAAAGCAGAGGTCACATCAATGTATTACTGTGAATCTTGAGGAGAACATTCTCAACTCACCCTATGCACTACTAGTGCACGCTATAGTGAGCGGGATTCTCAGTTCTGACCATACAATTACACTTCACAGCATCTTTATGGTCCATCCAAGACTGAATCACCCCCTGCCTGAGTTTGATTTTGGTTCCACTGGTTTATGATGGTCTTTTATGATGAGCCACACTATATGAGTGGTTAAAGGGTTAGTTCAGCCAAAAATGATCATTCTGTCATCATTTACTCACCCTCATGTCGCTCCAAACCCGCATGACTTTCATTCTTCTGTGAAACACAAAAGGAGAACTTTAGCAGAATTCAAAATTTAACAACATAACGTAACATTCTTTTAAATAGGCCTACAGTGAAAATAGACTGACTACAAATATGAGTTAATCCCGAATTTTTAGTTAAAACTTTTTGGATAAACATAAGTTGTCATTCACTATTAATTTCTTCTCAATTTCCAAATTCAAGAGTTTTACCTCAATTTTAAAGGGTTTTACACCTGCTGTGCAGGACCAAAACCATTTCTGCTCAAGATTTTATATCTATAAACGTTAAGCGTTCCCCCACAGAAAACCATTATAAAGAAAATCCTTAATGTGGTTTAATGCATTAAGACAGTGATATTAGAAGACCAAATAAAGTATTAATAAAGCATACTATGTACAAGATGAACACTGAATAGAAACGTGTGTACGGTAAGCGTTTCCTTATAGAAAACCATTATAAAGAAAATGCTTAATGTGGCTTAATGCATTAAGACAGTGCTATCGGTGGACCAAATTCGGTATAGGCTATTAATAAAACACATACGTACAGAATATGAACACACCGCACAAACTGTCATGTTAACCGTTTTCCCATAGAAACTCGTCATAAAGAAAACGCTTCCCTGAAAGCATGACGTCTGCATTTACATCTGCAAGACGTATTTTTTTAGAGTGTTTGCTCATCTGCAATATGTCTATAGGTCGCTTCCAATCAAGATGTCAAATAGACGTTGTCTTTAAGATGTTTATGATTTAGAATGCATGTAAAATTGACATCTTACAGACGTCTATCAGATGTCAAATAGACGTCTAGAAGATGTATTTAAGATGTTTATGATTTAGAATGTATGTAAAATTGACATCTTACAGTCGTCTATGAGATGTCAAATAGACGTTTTGAAGATGTCTTTAAGATGTTTATGATTTAGAATGCATGTAAAATTGACATCTTACAGACGTCTATCAGATGTCAAATAGACGTTTAGAAGATGTCTTTAAGATGTTTAT